GGGACAGGGGAGGGCGGAGGGGGAAGGAAAGAACACTATGGGACAGGGGAGGGAGGAGGGGGAGGAAAGAAAACTATGGGACAGGGGAGGGAGGGGAAGAACACTAGGGGGGGGGGATAGAGGAACGTTAAGGGAGAGCACTTAGGTACAGGGAAGGGAAAAGATACGGGGGTGCACTAAAATATAAGGGAGAGCAACATTGAGGGGAATTTGGGGTTGGGGGAGGGAGTTCCTACTACACATATTTACACACAAAAACCCTGCATCCACTACACAAATACACACACACACCCTCTTATACCTTCATGCTAACCCGCACCATACCCTCTTATACCCCCAATTACTATTAGGCCCATTCTATACCTCCTGGCAGCTTTACTTCCTTGTGACGTCATACTAACACATTCTTTTCTCCGATCTCTCTGATTCCCCCTTTCTAACCAACATTGCCAGCTATTGTCTCCATAATCCCAGTCACGATTACCCCCACACTAGCCCACTCTATTTACTCAGTTGCTATATTACCCCTGCTTAATTCAGTCTCCCTTTTTTTTGTGTAGTTTTTGAACTCATTGTTTGGACCCGGCTGTGATGGATTCCCATGGTGCTGGTGGGGGCAGTAATGTACCTGCATTCCTGGCCAAGCTGTGGACTCTGGTGGAAGACCCTGATACGGACCCTCTTATCTGCTGGAGTCCAGTAAGATTTATTCTGTGTCTACACCATATTGTTTTCCTGCTATCCATTAGCCGTAACGAGGGGAATAGGGCCTTTTGGGTTCCGTGTACCACTACTGTTGGGTGGTGTAACATATTATGATAAGACATGGTAATGCTCCCTTCTATCCAATGAATTAAAATGGAGTCATTCGCCACAGGAAACATTTTATTTACTAAATGGGAAATGTCAAGAATTCATATGGCTTTTTTCGCTAAAATATGAATGTCCCCAGCCTAAATCTGCAAACATCATGGGGGTCAGTTCAGCTGTGTTTGAACTGTTAATGCTGTAGAACAACATAATTTTTTTTCAAAGAACCCTCTTAACGAGGGTGAATATTATGTGGATTTTAGTCTGACCACAACCGGATTTAATAAATCTGGATCCAAATTTGTACAACATGGCCAAATTATTAAATCCAGACACATTTTAAAGTTTGTTCCTGTCTAGTAAGACCTTTAGTAGCAGTCACACCTATTTAGTGCAGCACTGTCATTCACGCTCTGCATGGAGACAATAAATGTATCCCACAGAGATGCATTAATTCATTGCATCTCTATGAAGAGTGGATTAATTAGAGGGGGGTGGATTAATTAGAGGGGGGGTGGATTAATTAGAGGAGGGGTGGATTAATTAAAGGAGGGGTGGATTAATTAAAGGAGGGTGGATTAATTAAAGGAGGGTGGATTAATTAAAGGAGGGTGGATTAATTAGAGGGGGCTGGATTTATTGGGGGGGTGGATTTATTGGGGGGGTGGATTAATTAAAGGAGGGTGGATTAATTAAAGGGGGGTGGATTAATTAGAGGGGTGGATTAATTAGAGGGGGTGGATTTATTAAAGGGGGGTGGATTAATTAAAGGGGGGTTCAATGTACATACCGGTACCATAAATAAATAAGCCCTACCCTGAAAATAAGCCCTAGTGTGTTTTTTGGGACTAAAATTAATATAAGACCCGGTCTTATTTTCGGAGAAACACGGTAGACAAATTTAATGGGGGTTTAGTTACAGTATATGATCATATATTGCATAAGCCTGTCACAACGTCAATGTGTTTTTAAATAATACTATTACAGTCTGTGAGATTTGGAATCATTAAGTGAATAAGCGAGTGCGCTGGATTATGTATTATGTATGTTGTATAAATGAATCCCAGCAGCACCCTATAATGTATGCATGGTCAGGTGAGTGCAGCTCTCTTGGTTTCATTTATATATTTGGAGTCCAGACCATCTCCCCGGTTTTGCCCCCCTCCCTGTCACAGGTGCCCCATTCCAGGGCCCTATTAAGCCTTGTACTGCAGAGAATCCCAGGAGGAGAAATTCCCCAGTAAATGGATTAATCCATAAGATCAGGCATTAGGTTGCTAGAGTAGAACCTGCCAAGAATGGGGTACATTGACGTTGTGGCAGGCTAATGTATGATCATACTTTGTAACTAAACCCCCATTGTATTTGCCTAGGTGAGGTGTTTTTAATTAAAACTATTACAATCTGTGAGATTTGAAATCATTGTTTAGTAAATGAGCGAGTGCGCTGGATTGTGTATTTTGTATGGTGTGTGTGTGTGTGTATATATATCTCACTAGACACCAGGTTAAAGCTCACAAAAATTTTAATTGTTTTTCGTTTGGTTTTTGTTAAAAATAAACCTGACTTCGGCGAAACAAATGTGGGTTTAGTTACAGTATAGGATCATACATTGCCTCCCATTCCTGGCAGGTCCTACTGTAACAACCAAATATCTGCTTTTACAAGATTAATCCACTTACTGGGGAAATGCTTCCTCTTTGGGCTGTCTGCAGGGCAAGGTTGCAAAAACAGAATATTCAAGGATATAATCTTTCAATGTAGGGTAATAACTGCTTGATCCAAGGATAAATCTGACTGCCATTCTGGGGTCAAGAAGGAATTTTTTTTTTCTTAGTTTGTTGCAAAATTGGAAGCGCTCCAGCCTGGGTTTTTTGCCTTCTTTTGGATCAACAGCAAAAACAAACATGAGGAAGGCTGAACTTGATGGACGCAAGTCTTTTTTTTCAGTCTTTTCAGCTATGTAACTATATAATAAAACTTTAAAAGCCCTTTTCTTAAGCTTGATATTTAATTTGTTTAGTAGATAACTGCCTTATTTGTTCTCCTTATGTGAGATTGACATATTTAGGATACCAAATTATGGAGCTATCTACTAAACACACTCACAGACCTATTCACACAATCTCATACATACATACACACAATAACAGACCCAAACATACAATGATACACACAATCATATACACACATAATAACTGGCATACACACACAAAAATCACATTCATACACAAACAAAGCTGTTTTCCTGGCACTTTAGGGTTAATAGGTCCCCTCCCTCCCTCATGTCCCCCCTCCTGCAGGGCAGCCACTTACCTGAATCCAGATTTGAATCCGCCCACGCTCCTCCCCTGCCATCAGCCAGCAGGGGAGACCTAATGCGCATGCGCGACAATTGTTGCGCATGCATTTGACCTCCCCATAGGAAAGCATTATTCAATGCTTTCCTGTGGGGAGAATCTGACGCTGGAGCTCCGTGAGAACGTCCAGTGTCAGATAACGAACAAAAATTCTGTTCGGATTCCGTAAGCGCCCCCAGTGGCTGTCTGGTATACGCTACATTATAGTATATAGTATTATATACAGTAATATATACATTATACGCCGCATAGAGGTAACATATACATTATAGGCCGCATACAGTAACATATACATTATACGCCGCATGCAGTAACTTTATACATTATAGGCCGCACGCAGTAACTATATACATTATAGGCCGCACGCAGTAACTATAGGCCGCACGCAGTAACTATATACATTGTAGGCCGCACGCAGTAACTATATACATTGTAGGCCGCACGCAGTAACTATATACATTGTAGGCCGCACGCAGTAACTATATACATTGTAGGCCGCACGCAGTAACTATATACATTGTAGGCCGCACGCAGTAACTATATACATTGTAGGCCGCACGCAGTAACTATATACATTATAGGCCGCACGCAGTAACTATATCATTGTAGGCCGCACGCAGTAACTATATCATTGTACGCCGCACGCA